CAGAGCCATCTGGCAACTAAATTTCAGCAACATCTGCACATGTGGGCACTGGTGAGTCACTATTTAACAGAAATTTTCTCTGCTTTGGGGTGAACTTTGCATGTTTAGAAGTTATGTACATTGTACACGTATGTACCGGTACCGTAATTTCGGCTGCATTGAAACAGTTTAGCTAAATACTAGAAACAAAGTGAGGGTGAGACTCACCAGTTCCTGAGAGGCATAGTTGTCCGACTGTCTGTCCACCGAATTGTAACAATGATCAAAGGAGTAATGCTTGACTCGCTCACGATGCCTGTCACCCTCTGAGCTGTTGATCTACATGTAGATAGGAACAGTCAAAATAAATCCCATGCATGAATTAAAGGAAAACAGACTTGTGCTGCAATTTCCTAGCATTTAATGCGACATCTAAGACAGTTATAACTCAGAATTACACAGACTCCCAAAGGACTTGAATCAAATAAGGCTATTTCAATATTCATTCTTTATTCAGAATATCTTTGTTTTGAATACAGAATGAAACATCCTATAAAACATGGCTAATATAATTAGTCTATTTGGAGTCTGCATAATATTGAGTTATCTGAATATTATCAGTGGACCTACTGATTTCAAGAAAATTGTAGTTACTAAGTTAGAGGTTCTTGTTACACCCAGCACCATGAACACCTGATCAATACATGTACGCCCCTGTACCTGACTGACCATGGTGTGCGGTATGTAATGGTTTCATTGGGACTCTCAAACAATCTCTCCCAACAACAATCTCTGACCCTTTCTTCAACAATTCATCGAAAAAAGGATAACACTATTTGCTGCATTCCAAAACTACATGGACATGTATCTCTAAAATAACCTTTGGTTTACTTTCTGTCATAGAGTATAGCATTATCTGAGGTTTTTGTGAGGTACTGCAGAAGGCTGGGGGACAGAAGTGTTCCACACCTTGACAGGTTTTTAATGATATGAATTCCGATGGCACTTGACAGAATGAAAACAGGTACCAACTTCTAATAAAATGTACATGTACACATGTATAAATGCACAACCCTAGAGTGGGATGTGAGAAAGGATGACCCTGAGCTTTGTAAAGAATATCATTTTGCATGTACACGTACACCTGTTTTTTGTTTTTCACAATGACATATTATGAAGACTACTGTGGAGACAGTGCTATTTACATGTACATGTACAAGTACATTGTAGCTGTTAAATTAATGTAGCAAACTTAGTAATCAGTTGAAGTTTCTATGTACATGTATTTCCTGTTTTTGCCTTCTGTTTCATCAGCAGGAGAAGCAGGAACTGAAGCAGAGCAGTAATTGAAGCATTGCCGCCTGAGCATTGTTCATAAAAGTGCAACCGCTGTATCCCACTTGCAGTAAGTATCGGCTTGATGTCCTTGGGAGTTCAGACTGGTAACAGCGTTCTTTGTGTGGATTAAGTCATGCTTAGCCTACAGACTACCGGTACATGTACCTTCTGCATGTAGGAGAAAACTTCTTTCATTTTCTAAGTAAAGCACTATTTTAGCGTTTTGGCATCGACATCATGTGTGTTTACTGGTGTCAGCCCAGTCATGCATCATAAAGGGAGGCTCCACAAACGATCTTTCAACAATAACGTTAATTGAAAAAGCCTACACACCGTGACTCATTTTAGAGACACATAGATATCATAAAACTTCACGTGCTATTCCTTGACTACTGCGGCAGCTGTATGTAATTGTTAAAACAATTTTTACTTTGGAAACCTTTGTTCATTAAGTTCCAAAACCGCCAACTAGAAACAATTTTTCATTTAAATACATTTGTTTAAAATTTTTAGTTATATGTACATTTTAAGCCTCCTAAATTAATATCAATAACAAAAAGTTACCTTCCTGATGGACAACTTATTGTCAGCACAATGCATTCTTTACATATCTCATTTAATAATCCAATCAATATTTTCTGATGATTATAAGTTCAACACACGTGTACTCACGTCACTTTACAGTTAACATCTGAAAGAGTGCACTGAACTTTTCTGGTACACAAATTTACCTTCAGATTGGTAATACTCAGTACATCCTCATTCACATCGATGATATTGATAGCTCCTGCATCCAATTCCCTATAAACAGCAAATGGCAAAGGCTTCCATTATAAAACAGTGTTGAGTTTGATTGAGGCATGTGTAATTAACAATTCCAGCATCATTAGCTATTCAAATTTTCTTTCCAATGTATGGCCGACGAAGACTGTGTTTTGACTGAAAAGAGGGTATTAAGTCGAAGAGTTTGACCAGGATTGACCGATAGTGCAGTCTTTTTTTTGGGGGGGGGTATGTTTGTGTTTCCATTTTCTCATATTCCCAAAACAACACATGGATTTTCATCACTCTTTACCATGTTTACTCTTTTGCCGGTGCTTTTGGAACAAAAGAAGTTTCCTCAGTCTTACAGGTACACGTACATGTAAATTAAAATTGTAGCTATTGAACAAGGAAATGATCAGTAATAAAAAAAAACTTTTTATGGGGGGTCAGCTATGGGGATGGAATGAAAAGGTATTGCTTTTCGTATTTTATTTTTACAAAAGAAATTTCATAATTTGGCTTCTTTGGATACATGTATAATCCAGCCGCCATGTACACCAGTAAACTTTTGAGATAATGAGATCAGAGGAAAAATATTGCCAGGGGAATCAGATTTCCAATAAAACTGGAAAAATTTCAACAAATCTGGGCAATTACATGTACATGTACAGACTGACCATCACTTGGTTTAAATGCAGTGAAAAACTGTGCATCCCTGAGCAAAAGGCATATCACTCAGGGGCAAGACAAAAATTATCTTTTAAAAAATGAGATAAAGACATACACGTAGCTTACATGTACATGGACATGCAACTACCGGCAGCTTTTGGCATTTTGGTCTTTAGTCCTTCATAAAACAGGTAATTTAAACCCCAAAATCTAGCCTCATCCCTCAGAAAGGCAAATAAAAATTAGGTTGCATGCAAAAATCCAAAGCTTCTGATCCCCGCAAAAACAAGCCCCCCTCCCATGCATATTTGGGTCTGAATCCGTCCTTGTTCGTGAGTTGTGTAAAACAGCACTCTCTCCTAGTCGTCTAGGACGCTGTCAAATCTCCAGGGCCCTCGAGCGTGAAAAGTTTGCGTTCGAGCAAACGGGCTTTGTGAGCCTGTTCACGGCGAACCGTTATCGCAGGACGAGCTGCAGTCAGGCAGGGCGCGAAGAATACATTCTAAGGAAGAACATATCAATCTTGAAAAACAAACCTCACTTACTTTTTACTTGGTGGACGCACACGGACTGCTACCTTTACGTTTGCCATTTGAAGGTTGAAGGGGGTGTCCTCAATGACATGTTGGTGGTAAAATCGGTACTATCCCAGAACTCCAGTTCGCCTACCGCAGATTTGTACTCACGGAGCTAATGACGTGAGCATGCAAAGTACGCTACACATACACACAGTACATGTACTGGACGTACGTACTGTACACATGCACATGTACACGTTCACCAGCCCACCAGTCGACAGTTGCTGTATTCTTTTGATTAGCGCGGCGTCACGTGGTTGCTGAATGGACAAAAGATTTCAGTGACATCCTGCCAGTAGGCCTAAATCATTATCATTTTGCGGTAGTGATGCTGACATCTTTACCTTAGCTGATTTCGTACTTCAAAGGATATATTTTCAAAGATGTCTTTCAGATTGTTTACTATTACAAAATATTTATTTTTCAAAATTGCCTGCAAGGAACCATGCAGGAGGGATCCCAAGTCATCTCTGTTTGGCCTGCTTTCTCTGCATTCCAGTAAAATAGCTCATTTCAAAGCTCATGAGTGAAATTCATACTCTAAAACAAATTTCGTTTTTCCTGCCATTTTGTTCCCCCATTCGACACGGGGAAATAGTAAAACAACACACTAACACGTGCCGTACTGTCAAGAGGGCGCCCTGTTACCCGCAACCTAGACTGGTCCTGGGCCCCGTCCCCGCGGTGTAGCGGCAGTTTAACGCGCGCGATTAGCCCTGCAATTTGAATGCTGAATATTTAAATATTTGTCAGGCCAGTTGAGCCTGAAAATTGACCCCTCATGGCGCCATTCCGAAACCCTTGGATAGGAAAAATAACGTGCAGAATGTTTAGTATTTGCAGATTTTTTTGTTCAGTTACTTCGTAAAAACTCTACTCTTTAAAAGGTCTTTTGTAAAATATTTTCTAACATATCAATTTGTGGAAATTGAAAAATGACCTGACTTAAAAGAGAAATATCCTGCCAAACATTGGCCTCTCACTTCCGAAAATCCAAAATACATCAAGAACAGTGCAATTCGGTGGTCTCGTACGCAGATGAACAATTTACGGAATCGTAGATTATGGTAGTCTTTCAGTAAAAGCCAAACTAAAAACCGACCAAAATATCTTAAAGATTTTAAAATTTATAAGGAAATAAACTTAAAGCAATAACGTGCTTTTACGAAAGTTTCTGATGTATAATCAACCTTTGCTGACAAGAACTGCGTCACGTCAACTCAACGGAATCTGGAACCAATCGACTGAAGGTAGGTAAATCTTTGCAGCGTTGTCCAAACTCGTTTCCACGTAAGCACGGGGAATAAAAACAAACTTGCGCGAACAAGGAGACCTATAGGAACGATACTGCCGGAAGCATAAGTTCGTAAATGAAATTCGTTTTTACCCATCTCCAGGTGACTTTTCCTAAAAAAATACTTGAGGAGGACAAGGGAAAAATTCCCACATGAATGTTTCTTGGGGTGGTTTCAGTTAGAAATCACTCTTCCAAAAATTATAAGGATTTGATAGAACGGCCCATGTAAAATCCCCATTGGCGGACCACGCGAGGGTTCCAGAAGCTCGCTGAGTGACCTTCACCTTTCAGGCGCTATAGCAATGCTTTAGCATGAAATAGTTTTAGTAGGAGGGAGGCGAATAACAAATAAGTACCCGTCTTTACGAAGCCTCTGTTGATCACAGTGTGGTAGTTTATTTCTCAATTATAATCATCGATAAAATTATTTTAAGGCAATTTATTTCAAATCAGCGGTTATTGTATTAAATTTGAGATAAATGAACCAGTTGGTGAAGTTATTTCCAGTAACAAAGAAGAAAGGCAAAATATGCTATCAGCTCGTACTTGATCTGTGCATTGCACAATGGCCGGCGCAGCCAGGATTTTACAAATGGGGACACAAAGGGGGTACCAGCATCTTATGAGAGCACCAGCTTTCAGCGGTGTTGTTTTGGGGAAAAATTTTTGTTACGCTTGGGGGCACATGGGGGTACGGGGAATTCGGAGGTATGTGTGCCCATCTTGCTGAACGAAAACAGTTTTTGCTGGTCATGGGAGTTCACAACTTTGAAGGACGTGATTCTCGAGCAAAAACTATCCTGCCCTACAATCCAGATGGCTAGACCTAAGATCAAATTAGACGTAGCCTTACAGTTACTTGGACGTATGCCTTGATGAGGCATTTTAAACTGATTACAATACATTATTCCTTATACTATACTTGTATGTACTGTGATTTCTTGAGGCAAATGAGATTTACAGCGTTGGGACCGTCAGACCCCCGTGCCAAATCTCGCGGCTTCTCCTCTGGTTACTCTGTGGTGACGGATTCAAACTTCGCGGCGAAGCCACGCCCATTCACACTAGCATCGCTCTTGAAACGCACTGTCATTGTATCGGCCAGGGACAAAAAGGTACCCGCTGGAAGATCCGAACCGCAAATCCTGGGAACAAGAGAATCAAATTGTAACCCGAAAAATGGCACCTAAGTCCCATAATCTTAGGGAAACAAGAACATATAAAAATGCATTTTCGTCAAATATCCTTAGATGTAGGCAGAGTTAGGCCAAATCTGGTGTAAGTCGAAAATATTGGAGATTGCCTCGTACATTTTTTTGCTTTGACCCAGGCTTCGAGGGCGTTATTTACATTGCTTTGCATTTCGTTAACAAATAGAAATGCATCGTCAAATTGCTAATCGGATTTGCATACAGTGAAACCAGTTAAAACTCCATAAACATGCATGACACGACATTCACATGACTGAGTCGTACTTCAGAGCGCCAAAGATTCCTTGTCCTAGAAAAATCTCCATTCGATCCCAGTTACACTGTGCATGGTATTCGATGTCCATGTCCAGAATCGTTAATTCAACACGTTTACCTTCAGGAGCCTACAGAGTTGTGAAGTTAATGGGGGGAAAAAAGGACGATAAGTATTAGTCCCAATTCTCTGTTAAAATTGAAACAGGTCTCTGCGAAACATTTTAGCCATAATTTTAACCATAAGGTCTTGAAATCAAAACACGAGAAAAGACGTTTCCAATTAATATCCTACTATTAACAAGATTTTCTGAGTTAAGAAGGGAAGGAAATAGTTGACTAACATGAGTGTATATAGTCGAAAAATCAAGCTGACATCATGGCTTCTATAACATCAACAGTTACATGACGAAATGTTAAGTCTTATGAAGTCGCTTTGAAGCCTAAACACACCATGTATAATTCCACCTATTGTTGGAGTTAGGCAACACAATCATTTGCGGGTAAACGTGTGACTTTTTGTAATTGCAACATGGTCCGATTGCTTGCAGTGCAGCTGGTTGTCAGTGGTTGATCTGAACTCAACTTCAGGGTTCTGCTTACCGCAGGCAAAGAATATTCGCGAAAGAAATCTGCCCTGTAATAACAATTAGCTTATGCTCCGGGTTAGCAGAGAAATCTACCAACCGCACTTATGAATCCCCTACATAATTATAAGGACTGCCTAAAGAGTCCACATTTCATACTCACTTTGATGTTATAGGCACAATTCAGACCATTATCATAACCACCTTGCCCAAAATTAGGTGACACAATGCAGCCGCTGTCTTGAAAGTTCCCTCCGCATGTACCTGGTTCTGCTACAGATGATCAAGTCAAAGAGATTTTCTTTTCAATAGCTTGACTAAAGTGAAAAAAATAATAATGTACTACCGGTATTAGTCCAAGTAGAGAAATTTCTTTTTCGTATAGCGGAGTTAAAAGTTAAAAAATAGATATAGACTGGAACAAACTATACGAATATTTAAACCCTGTAATGGTAGACAATTCAAATAAGGACGAAAATATGTCGTTAATACACATCCATATCCTCCCAACGATGATGCCTTAAAACCGGCTACACTTTGACAATTCACCTGTGCAATCCAGAGCAGCACGTTTCGTCTCAGCGTGTACAGCGCCCTCTGCATTTTCTTTAACCTCGGGATGTCTTTGCATTTCAGATGCGGTCTTTGCATTTTCGAGGAATTCCTCCTAGGAGATGCAGGAGAAAGCAAACGGTAACCGACAAGAAAAGATGTAGCAAAAGACAGCCCCTCCAATTGGAATTAGGCTTATGTTATCTAGGAAAATCATGATTTTTTATGTGGTATTCTTTAACACTCGGTTAACTCTAGCAATAAGAACATCAGTTCTTTGAAGTCTTTGCCAAGCCTTTGGACAAGCAGCTTGACTTAACATACAACTATACCCGGTACCCCAGCACTTGACCCAGCGGTGAGCAGAACTGAGCGGAGGCTTCACGCTGGGTAACGAAGTCAAAGAAATATGTACATGTATATATTTAAGTCTCAACTGAATTCCCTTTCGCAGCTTCACGACTTTGTCGAATGTCGGTTAGACGGTCTTTATGTTAAGGCCAGGTTGACCGTTGCTTGCCTCTGCCCGCCAAGTATTTTTAGCGTTTGAAACAGCAAACTTGCAGTGAATATCGCAGCGTTAGCCCAACTATCTTTGCGATTTTACCAAAATCCATCTGCGGAGATCTTCCACATTGTGTAAACGTTAGCATATAATGTATACCAGAGAAATAGAATCAGGCTTCAGATTTCATTTTGTGAAGTGTTTGTTGTTAATCATCAGTGACATTTGGGAAAAATGGGGTGAAAGATTTTATTGTTCTCTTTGTAAGCCCATCTTAAAATATGCTGCACCGGTTTGGCTACCTCATCAGAAAAACCACATCCCATGCCTTGAGACGATCCAACATTGCTTTACCAAATCTTGCTTCTCCTACAATATTGCTATTTCTCTTTCCTACGAACAACGTCTACCCAAACTTCACTTGCCTCCCCTCTACAACGTACTTGTATACCTCACTGCTTTGTTTGTCATGAAGTGTCTTTTCAACAACATTTCTGTTTCCTCACATTTTCATCCGCAGGCCAACACAAGAAAAACCGACACCCTTCTTTTCAAGCACCAGTACAAATTCAAACAAATTGTCTCAAATTTTCTTTGCATGCCCTCTTTCCCAGATTGTTCAATTCTCTTCCCTCCGATGTCTGAGAACTCTGCCTTGAACTTTCCCTCAAATCCTTCATCAATTCTTTGGGGGATCCTCTTTTCAGTCTCAAATCCATTTCTGATCCTTTCTAGAGTTTCATTCCCAAAGTATTTTCCTCCAGCCCTCACCACTTAGTATTTACCCTATCATTTCTTTGCCTCTGTTGTTATCATTATTTTTTTATTTGTCTGGATATTTTTGCTACTTATTTCTTGTCATTGTCGGTATTCCTTTTTTTAACATTATTTTTCTAATGGCTTAATATTTCCAAAATATATAGTTTTATTTTTGCCAGCCTTCAGTTATATTATTTGGAATTAAGTATAAATCTAATTCACATTCTATAGTTTTCTGTTTTGTACATATTTGTTTAGATATTTTGCTACTTATTGCTTTTTATGTTGCTAGCCTTACGTCACATTGTTTGCATTCAAGTATAAATCTGATTCACATCTTGATAAACTATATCTGTAAATAGTCATGTTTCCTGCATGCTTTATCCAGTTAGTTAGGAGAGCCCCTCGACAGAAACTTGTTTCTTTTGGGTAATCCTGCGGGAGCTGATTGGGTATTGTTATGTTTCTGTTATGTCTATTGCAGTGTTTATTTGTTTTCTTGTCTGTAATTTATTGTATGTATTATCCCGAAAAATGAAATAAATGAAATGAAATGAAATTAATGAAATGTCTGTGTATTTCCGAACGTAAAAAAGGGTATTTTACACTCGAAAATTTGAATTGTTCTCCAGTTTTCCTACACATGCTGCATATCTTGATAACTGAAAGAGTGTTTGGAAAAGGTGAGCATGTTATGTTTAAGCTATTGCGAATTATCCTTTGTTAGTTTCATCAATTTCAATATTGGCTCTCTGTCGAACGGTCGACCATGATTTGTGTGTGCACAATGCGCACGTTCATGTACAGTATATAATATTATACTGTTCGTATACACTACATGTACTCCATCAAAGCACGTACACGTGTACTTGCACTAATACGCACAAATGATTCTCGTGCAAAATATTCAATTCGCAATAACATGAAAATACTCCCGATGTTCTAATCGGGTCTTGATACACACGGCACTTTATTTCGTTTGTTTGGATAAACTGAAGAAGTTGTTGTAAATGCGAAAGACCGTGGACGTATTTTCTTTCAAATCTGATCGTGTTTATTTTTTTATATTACTTTTTCAGAATTTGCTTCAAATTTTGTGCAACTGGGTTCATGCAATATGCAGTAGTTTAATGTTGTCTAATCAATTTTCATTTGTTTTCATTTTGTTAAAAAGAAATTAAGATCTTCATCCGAGAAAAGGAATGACGGAACGATGTCCGACGTCGCCTGCCTCGAATCCACAGTAAAGTGATCGAGTGCGCATGTGCCAACTCTCAACCAAGTGGTGCACAAGGGGGCGTGAACCATACTCAACTTCGTCTCCGTCTCAGGCTTCGTGTAGGAAACCAGTCCCCGATTGTGGGCCTAAAGTGTTTAACTTCAATTGAAGTACTGTAATGTTTTTGCATCTTATTTGGTGTTCTGGAAAACGGCCGTATAAACGCATAGACCGCCTAGACCGCTGGGTCCTAATCTAACCTACAAGGGTTTTTCGTGATCTCCGCTGCGCCCGACTACAATCAAAACTATGGGCAAATTCACCCCTTGGAATAGGGAATTTACGCACAGTTAAAGAATACCAGCCATAAAATTCTACGAAGCCATTTTTTTAATTGTAAAAACATCCTCTATTTACTTAATCTGGCCCTTAAGGATTCGAAACAATGTGGTTGCAGCATTTGAAAAGAAGAGATAACAGCACCGAAGAGCAAAAAATTAACGTATTTGGGAGCACATGTAAACAAATACAGGCAATCAATGTAAATGCGTGGCGCGTAATGCGCACTGGACACGCTGTCATCCATCGCTTTGCCCATAGTTTGCCATACTTTTCGAAATCACGGTTTTACGCGCAGTCCAGGCGTTTACATGGCCGTTTTCCAATACTCAACTTCGGCTCTGTCTCAGGCTTCAATTCAGTTTTTACTACCTGAATCAGAAGTTGTAAGCGCAATCTGGTAAGGAAATCTGATGCCACAAACATGACAAAACATCAAGTAACATGCAAAAAAGCAAAATATTACACTTCGGTGTATGATTTACGCTCCAGGCCCACAATCGGGAATTTGTTTCAGAGACGAAGCCTGAGACGGGAGACGAAGTTGATTATTGGAAAACGGCCTATGTCTGTGGAGTGAACCACCCTCGACTATGGAGTGTCAAAAGTGGACAACCCCTTTTTCTCATTTTCTACTTGTAAATTTTCGGGATTTTGGACCTTGCCTAAAGCATTTTCAAAAAACGCAATTTTCCGCTAGCAGAAATTTTGATTTTACTATAACAACTCTCGTGGCGCGTCAAAAGTGGACAACTAAAAGCTTCAAATTCTCACTGGCAAAATTACTGTCATGTTCCAAAAGTGGACAACCCCATTTTCTCATTTTTTGCAAGTACATTTTCGGGTTTGGGGAATTTGCGTAAAGCATTTGCAAAAACTCAATTTTCTGCAAGCGAAAATTTGGAATTTACTCAAAAAAGTCTTCGTAGCGCGTCAAAAGTGGACAAATAAAAACTTCAAATTTCCACAAGCAAATTTTATTTGATGCTCCCAAAGAGGACAACCCCATTTTCTCATTTTCTGCCAGTAGATTTTGGGGTTTTTGAAGTTGCACCATCCCTTTTCGAAATTGGATTTTACTTTGACGACTGCAGGGTGGTTCAAAAGTGGACAAGTTAAAAACTGGAAGGACACTTTTCTCCCTACGTTGAAATGGAACGGTCTTGGGAAAATTGATTGATTTGCAGTAGTACTATACTGCAAACGTGCGGAGCCAACCCGTTTTATTGACCCGCCGTCTGTTGACGGACATCCCCTTGCTGTGATCGGCCTTTTTCATGCAACTTGTATTTCCATGTAGCCGATTTTGTGAAAAAGATCGGACCTTCTTCACGTCAAGGATGTGAATTTTATGGGGTTTATTGAGGGGAGTATTTTTTAAAGGAAATTATTGAAAATAAGATGTTGAGGATTGACGAAAATTATGAACCGGGTATAGGGCAGGTTACTCGGAGTGCCAAAAGTGCAACAACCATTTTTTTTATATTTAGATATGAGACTTGTTGTACAATCCACCATCCATGCATTTCACAGTACACGTATATCTGATGATAGCCCCACAAATAGGGCTCTTATCTGTCGCCACCACAGCCCTACTTCAAGGCATGTCTTAAATGCCTGAAATCCAAACTGCAGGATTGTCACAAACTTTGAATCCTAATATCTTCCGAAATGAGAATGACTTGAAATTTTTACTTACACCGGCGTATTTCGCAGAGTTTGGACTTTCATACGAGCACCCTAAACTTTTTCAGAATCGTAACTTTTCATATGTATGGCGCCTAGAAAAACCCGGCCTGTAATGCAGGCTATACCCAGCAAGAAATGAGACCGAGGGGTATCCCCCCAACATGTCCAATCCCTATACACATTCCAGACTATTGTTACTTAACACATCCCCAAGATGTCTGAAAGGAATTCCCCAGATTCCTGCGAGACAATGACCAACACAAAGCAAGGGGGTTCTCTCCGTCTCATACCTTGCTACCTATGATGCAGACCGTACCGGACCACGGGCGGCGCCATTTTGAAAAACGAAGGCAGCGCTTCGAGCGTCGGAAGTCAAGGCACCCGACAGGTGCCGTAGATGCATAATTCATGTAGTCACAGTATTGCTCAGTATAAGTTGCGCGCGCACTTTGTTAGTGTACGCCCATACAGAACATGCACATTAATGTCATTCAAATTTAATTTCACCAGTTCCTTGTTCGTCTGTCGCGCAAGGTATGACGAGGTACAACGTAGACAGAGCTCCTGTGCCTTGAAATCTGACGAACTTCAATGTACATGTACTTATACAGTGCTGGTATTTGTTTACATGTGCTCCCAAAATACGTTCACTTGTTTGCTCTTCGGTACTGCTTTTTCTTCTTTTCAAATGCTGCAACCACATTGTTTCCTCTCACATTGTTTCCCTCACCGATATGTGTCGTCTGCTAGAACATCAGTTTTCAGGCCGACGACCATATGTTGCTATTGCGCATGCGCAAATTCACAAACTTAATGCACGCACAGTCTATGGGGACCGAATACTCAATGTTGGGTGTCGATGCGCGGCCTGTGAGGCCTGCGCTCCAGCTCGAAATGACAACATTGACCGGGGGAGTGGGGGACCTGGGGAGGGTAATTAAGTCATGATTCGTTATAACATGACAGCTATTATCTTTACACTGCAGGGCCTTGACCTTGAGGATTAAGCCTTGGCCTTGGTCTCGAGGCTTGTGGGTCAAAGTCTTGGCCTTGTGAATCAAAACCTTTGCTGCAACACTGGCTTGTACCCAGACTGACATAATATGTATGTGAAATGGCATACCGGATGACGTTATCACATGATATATAATTAAAGTGTGAATATTCACTTACAACTCATCTTCTGTCTTTATCCAATTTACATTTGGACACTCTGAATTTGCAAGTTCTTATTGACAGGATAGCTACAATCAATTGACTGAACGGAAACCTTCAAAACGCACCTTTATGTCTCAGTTACCCTTAAATCCAACTTTTCTTTCACTTTTTACAAAGGGTGTTTCATTGCCATGTTTGCTTTCATGCTAACGAGTATATCCATCTTCATGACGCAACTGTGATGCTATCCCGAGAAGAAAGGCTCAGTGTAGGCGTAATATTAAGCTGTACAGAAAGTGACTGATGAGAAAATGCAAATATTAAATACGAAGAAGTACACTGACCTTTTGACGTCAACATTTCATACAATTAAAAATACAACAACTTCAGGTCTTCAATGTTGAAAATGAGATATAATATGACAGGAAAAGTGCTTGTTCAACCACGTTTTTCTAGAGAAGGAATTTGCTGTAAAAAGGTCTGTTCACACGGCAATGTGTCTAAAGAGCTATTTGCTCCTAGCGGAACAATAGAGGGCGTGTTTTTGTGGTACTTACTGCATAGGCGCGCGTTTACAATGGCATCAATGGCGCGTTTGACGCTGACCACACTAAGTACGCGTAACGAATTTATTCCTTAATGTATGGTCTGCGCGTACTCGCAGAGCGCGCCGTGTAAGAACCCGCGTGGAAAACTACCACCAGTCTTTCTGTTGCCGTTTGGGGTGTGCACTCGGGGCTGATACACCACATATCAGATCCACCGCACCCCACCACAAAACACAACGTATTAGTTAGCAGATCTATTGGATTCTGATTCGGCTGTCAGTTTATGTTAGTAAAGGAAACGAGAGACAACGCCCCCCCCCAAAGGGGGGCAAAAATGGCGTGTCATTCACATAATACTATGAAAGAGTTCGCACATTGACGACCATTGTGAGTGTGAATGCATATTTTTGCAACGTGAAGCATTATTGCAGCTTTTTAATCATTCAGTCTTTACACAGCAACATTCTGTGCAGTAAGGTTGAAGATTTTGTTATCTCCTTAATACGAACAGCAAATAACAATGTCTTCAAAATGGCCGAGTTGTTAAATTCGCGGTTATCAGATCGTTAGACGATGGGTTGGAATCCCAGGGGGTGGCTTTAATTTTCCCAATGCTTACTGTCAGTCAGTAGCTATATATAAGAGACTCTAATTCACCACCGTCAAATACCAAAGGTACCTTGGCCGACCGGGTAGGCTCTTCTGTTGGGACTGTCCAGGTGAGCACCTTAGTACAGGTTCGAGACGTATGGACGACTCGGCGGCCAGGGCTTAGGGGCTTGTCTCGTTTCCTCCCTTGCATGGTCGCTCGAACCCTTTTGGGGGTTAAATGGGTGGGCAGGGAGGAAGTGTGGTGGGCCGGGAACCCCGAGACCCCAGAAGAGTCATATATGGAAGTCGGTAACTGCAATTCCTTGCACCTGAATGCTTGGTCAACACCACATAACTTTGGCTTTTTCCCTCACCACTTTTTTTTCATGTCCATGGGCGCAGAATCCACAAGTCAATTTTCTAGGTTTGAATACAGTGAGCTAAATGATGCTGCTTTATTTCCATTTACAATCTTAATTTCCTAACCTTTCGACAATGAAACCGATCCCAACCGTGTTGGGTCGATTTCTTCTTACTGATATCAGTATAAGAGCTGTGAGGTGTATAGTGAATATTGTTGATTCAACAGTAATAGATCCAGGGGTGGCACAGTCGGGCGGCACTCACCTCCTTATTTTATTGATGGAAATACATTTTCATTTTAAAATTCCGTTTGCTTTCAACTGAAGAATAATTTAATATCTCGAAATAGAAATTCTCACAAAGATACATTCCATATCTCCTCGGGTCAGCCCAACGTTGACTGCAGTCAACGTTGGGCTGACCCGATGAGATATATAACATTGCAATGTTATCATGTCCAGCCGGAGCGCAGACGGCGCAAATAGACCCAACGTTGTGTCTATACCCCGCTGTTTGGCGTATGATATATATTCCTGCCTGTATTTTTTCGGGCAGACTTGTCTGGCCAGTCATGGATCAGCCATTCACAAGAAAGAGCGGCACTCTCTAAATCGGAAAGAGTGAAATTAGGGACAAGACGTTTCAGAGTAAAAAAAATCACTCTAAATTTAGACTGAAAAGGCTGAAAATAGCCACCTCCAGTGAAAGCTCGAGTGAAATTGCAATCTTTTGGAGTGAAGAAATTTCACTCCAATTCGTCTGGTCCTTAATTTCAATCGGAGGGATTGAATTTTCACTCGAATGGAGTGAATTTTCACTCTTTGGAATTTAAAGAGTGGTCACTTAAAGTGTGCGAAAAATTCCTTCATTGCCCAATTCGAATTAACACTAACTTGAAATAAACATTAAATGCGCTGAATTAACCCTCAAAACATCCCAAGCATTGCCATGACCAAAGATCGTATAGCACCGCGTAACGGCGCAAGATGGAGAACTTCATTGTGAATACGCATCAAACGCACGGACGTACATAAAAAAAAACGGGACTTGCAACGCCTTTGTATGAAAAAGAAGCCAAGCAGCGGCCATTTTACCGAGCTCCCTTCTATTGACGTCAGGAAGAACAAAGGTGGACATTGCCAGGAAAACGATGGAAGAACTAAAAAGAAAACAGAAATCCCACACGATTGTATACGGTGTGTCCAGACGCATACTCACACTTCATGTTTTACAACAATTCTATTTTGTACAGATAGCTCACGAAATGCTATGGTGCATCGTATACGATGCGCTCCTACAAACATATTATCCTGCAATACACGCATCGTGCCTGGAAATCGCATCTTTAAAAATGCCTCTAGATTCTTTTACCCGTGGGACTTTTCTACCCAATATTATACTTTGCTGTGGTTACACAATTAGATATCGATATTTCCTTGATTTATTTCTACGGTGCAGCCATAATATAGCTTCATATATTCAACCTGTGTTTTCTTAAACCGACACTACACAACCCCCCCCCGGCATGGTATGCATATACAACTGTGAACCAATTCAGACAATCCTGGATAAATCTTGTTGGGCCTGCAAACCCCTGACCCCCTTTCAAATAAAGGAAACACATAAATGTTGCACAGGTATGGGCAGGAATGCCATGGTGCATCATCTACGATACAGTTGTGACTGTGCACGCATAGTGCAAAATGGATACCGGGCCTGAACCAACTTACCTTGAACTTTTTCAAGTCAAAGTGATGCCCGACCACCAGCTGACTTACAGCAACAAACAAAGTGACAACCGCAGCAAATTTCATCTTCACCGTGTTACTGCGCTGCTCAAGAGCAAGTATCGATATCCGAATTTGGGATCAGCTTAAATACTTTCTATTCGAAGTACTGGTACTGCTTATTGTCCCGACAATACGTGTATGAGTGACAAATTATTCATCAGAGCTTTGATTGCGAAATATTTGTCAATTCCATTGTTAAGTCACATGAATCCAATTAAGTAATATCCAGGTGAAAGTTCGTGTTGACAGCATGACGTCGGGAGCTCCGATTGTCATGGTGGTATAGATTATAATGTGGAAGCATTGTTTAAATCATTTCGTATTCCCAGGCATGATATTTTCAGTAAAGTGAAACATACCCAAGTAATTGGATCAAAGAATCGACGCAATGTGCAGACATGATTAAATTCACGAACGTCTAATTAAATCCATAGGAAATGCAACCAAAGCTGCGGGCCAGCTGTGTGGAAGGAAGACATGGCATTGGATAGATTTAATAAAAATACGCAATATGACTGTCTGTTTGCTTTGTAATCAACAAATCCACTAATAGATGTTTGTTTCAATTGAGATACATTGTAGTCAGCCTCAGCCTGAAGAAGGGGGAACCGTGAGAGTACCTATACCACAAACATGTTCATAGCTCTTGGAATTCTTTATTCCTACATAAATAGAAAGACGAAAACGAAGTGTTCAGCTAAAAGTTGTTTGGACTTTTAATTAAATTGAATTATCTAATATGGGTCTGCAAGACATGCTGTGGCTCCATGAGACGGTTTTCCGTTGCTCATAACGAAAGCCTGTGAAAGGCAACCGCGTACAGGGAAGTTTTGCTTGTATACCATTACAGTCTAGCGTGTAATTGGGCTCAGTAGAACAACTTATCAGGGGCCGTCCATTAAGTACGTACGCATGACATGCCGACTTTTCAGACCCCCCTCCCCCGTGGGCATGGCCTATGCAGTGGCTCCAACCCCTTCCCCCTGTACGCATACGCATTCCGGAAGACACTGCAGATCTTTTTGTGTCACGAGTAATGTTGCAGTTTATTAACAAGGAGCGTTGGCAGGGGAGGATAAATGGTGGGATAGACGGTGGAGGATACAGAGTTTCAGTGTTTTCTTCGTCGCCCCAAAGCTGATTCTGGTATTTATTTGTATGAGAAAGTGTATATATTGATATAATGAAGATTCATGAGAGGGAAATTTAAAGTTTCGGTTTGCGTAAGGTACACACTGGCTTGAACCCTCTCACGTACGTATGTACACAACGGCACCAACGGACCCCCTCCCCGTTCGTGCGTACGTACTTTATGGACGGCCTCTTACGAGATTAGTGATCCAGGAGTACGACATTGATATTCACAGAAACTTCCATCAATCCATGCCGTATACCTGCAAGAAAAACTCAACTGAGCCATTAGCTGATATCCAGTTGGGTGTGGAGTGTATAATTTAACTGAGAGCAACGGGGTGGCGAGTTTAAGAGCTAAATCGGAACAATTAATGATGGAAGAAACATAGTGACGGCACAATGGTCATAAATGCGAATTGTGAAATTAGATCTCACGAGAAGCCGGAGTGGTGAAAGTATAGATGATAAACGCACTAAATTGTCCCTAGGTTGTGGAACATCAGCTGTACTAATTCACTCTATACCCAACTCCATGATTTGTAGTGAGTTGATTCCTGTTTTGTTTAATGTAGAGGACAAATTGATTCTGTTTTATGTAAGAAACAACGTTGAATGAATGTCTAAAAGTCTCAAAATGGTGTGCCACAAATTACTCCCATACAGCTATTGTCTTATACAGTGCTTCAAGTTGACCCAACAGGACTTAAGTTATATTTGGAACAGAAAAACAAACCTTCCCATGTCCACACAATGGAAAACCTGCTTCATGTTTCTTCCAAAAAAGGGGCTAATGTTAAAAGTTTATTAATTCAAAGAGACTTCCACAGAATGCTATCCGATTACGAAGTAAACTTTGCGGCTGATATACGCTTTGCTGGTGAGAATAATTTAGATATACTCCACAAAGGACCTTCATTAATGATTATCTTTGCATTAATTTATCTAGACACAAAATAATTGCAAGTCATTTCTTCCTTTACTCTGGCGGTGCTTTTGAAGATATCTTTAACTGAAGGACGGCCCGTCTCTAAATTTGTCGCATATTTCCCCTGCTAAAATAATAACGCCATGCAAATGTTCCTCCCGCGGTTAATGATGTTGAAGATCCACGTGTGTCAAAGCAAGCTAAGTGGCTCACTGCCCCAAGTAAAATCCAGGTGAATGTTACTGTTGACAGCATCACTTCGGGAATTCCGATTATCATGGTGGTATATATCACAATGTGGATTTATTATTCAAATAATTTCGTATTCCCAGGCATGATGTTTTCAATCAAGTGAGACATTATTGGATCCAAGAACCGACACAAAGTGGAGACGCAATTAAAATTCACCAACGTCCAATTAAATCCATAGGAATTGCAACCAAAGCTGCGGGCCAGCTATGTGGAAGGGAGACATGGCATTGAATAGATTTAATAAAAATACGCGACATGACTGCCTATTTGCTTTGTAATAAACAAACCCACTAACAGATGTTTCAATTGAGATACATTGTAGTCAGCCTCAGCTAGTACGACAGACCATGAATAAAGTTTGTCCGGTAGACATCATCATGTCAAGTTATCCAGCAAAGTTTTGCTATAGCAAAAGATGGCCAACGTCATGTTTAACTGCTGTGGTGAGAAATTCTGAGCACATGGCCTGTGGAAACTTCCACTGGGTTCGTAGTGTAGTCTGCCATCCATGCTGCAGGGCTAAGCTGGCCTGCGTTGAGCGAAAAAGTGTCCGCGGGCTGGAGTAAATTGGGCTAGGTTGGGCCGGGCTAGGTTGGGCCAGCCTAACCTGAGTCGGGCTGAGCTATTTAGCTGTTGCTTGACTGGGCAACGCAGGGATGGGGCGAATTTGAGCTAAATTGGGGCGGGCTAATTTCTAGGCTTAGCTGAGCTAAGCTTCCATGCCCGCCGTTGGCTTGACTAAGCTGGGCTGGGCTAATTAAGTTGAGCTGTGTCGAGCTAAAAGCTGTCCGTGGGCTGGAAGAACTTGAAGTTGTGCGACAGGGCTGGGGTGGGCTAGGTTGGGCCAGCCCAACTAAGCAAAGCTGAGCTAAGCTATAGCTAGACTGGGCAGGGGGGGGATGGGGCGGGGCTGACTGGGATGGGCTTATTAACTACATGTATATGGGCTTTGCCAAGCTAAACTGCCATGAATGCAGTTGACTTTACTAAGCTGGGCCGTTAAAGGCTATAGCCTGAACTGGGCTGGCTTTAACTGAGTGGGGTGGGGGATTCGATCAAGCTGCATGGGCTTCAAGGTGCAGTCGTTAAGGTGGACCGGGTAGACGAGTGTGAGTTGGGTTAGCTTGTCTGAGGGTGATTTGTAACGGGATGGGGATGAACTTGAGTAGCATGCGCGTATTTGGATCGGCCCTTCCGGATTCACCCTTTGATCCATGGATTACAAAAAGAATCAGTATGTAAAAAGATAGCGCTGGCGCTTTACCTCTAAGGTTTTCGAATTTGAAGAAATGCCCGATCACATTTTTCTTACTTCACCAAATTATGAATACATCTTTTGATTTTACGCTTCCTTTCAGATGGTTTCCCCATCCACCAGACTGTCAAAATGAAGGATTTGTCGGACAAAACTATAGGCCTACCTGCGTCTGCAAGCCTACCTACACTGGACCTTTGTGCTATAAATTCAGTCTGCACAATCTAGACCTAGGTTATTGGCATTTATCATATTCAATGCTGATAATGGTATCTCATAATCCTTATGACTCAAACGCAGTCACCGACTATATGAACCACATTAAACTAAAGCCNAAAACAAAATGGATACCCGGCAACATACACTGCGACAATCACATGAAAGATTCCTTTAAAACGGGTTAAATCAAAAGCCAAGAAATTGGTTCCTAAAGTCCCTTGGGTCACCATCAGTTTATGTAAATCCATTAATTATAAAAACAAACTTCATCGCAAGTTTAAGTCTAACCCAACAGAAACTAATCATGCTACATATGTACTACATAAAAATGTACTGACAACTGTCCTTTGTAATTCTAAAGGTAATTACTATGCCAAACAATTCAATAAAGAAAAGGGAAATATTAAAAATACTTGGAAAATAATAAAAGATGTATTACATAACCAAAATAGTCATCAAAATAAATTAAAAATCGAAGCACATGGTGTATCCATTAATATTCCTAAAGGACACTGCAAATTATGTTAATGATTATTTTTCAAATATTGGTAAGAATCTGTGTGATGAAATCCCGGAAAATGACCATAATTGGAATTATTTAAACAATCCTAACACTGATTCTATTTTTCTCCCCTGTAACTCAAGAGGATATCATCGAGCTAGTATGTAAACTCCCAAATAAGAAGAGTGCGGGGTTTGATCAAATTAATAGTACACTGATTAAGGCAGTTATTCGAGATATTACTAAGCCATTAACATATATTATGAATCTTTTTATTTCCACGGGTATGGTACCAGACAACATGAAGATTGCTAGAATTACTCCTGTATTCAAGAATGGCAGTGCTAGCTGTGTCAGAAACTATTGACCCATTTTTGTTCTTGTATTTTCTAAAATTTTGAAGCAAATTGTTTACATTCGCACAATGCATTTTTTAGACAAACATAATATATTTCCTGACAACCAGTATTGGTTTAGAGAGAACCACTCCACCTGGCATGCTATTATTCATTTAATTGATAAGATAAGTAGTGACTTATATGCCTCATTTACCACAGTTGGCATTTTCCTGGACCTCTCCAAGGCATTTGATACAGTCAATCATGGCATTCTTTTGTCTCAACTCAACCATTATGGTATCAGGGGAATTGCCTTGGAGTGGTTTAGGAGTTACCTTACTAACCATAAACAGTGTGTATGTATAGATGGTTGTCAATCATCTTTTTGTCAAATCTCCCATTGAGTTCCTCAAGGGTCTATTTTGGGGCACCTTTTGTTCTCGATTTACGTCAACGATTTCAGTAAATCCTCTGACTTGTTTTCCTTCATTTTGTTTGCAGATGACAGCAATCTTTTTTTTTTACAGTCATAGTGACGCCAGTACACTCTTTGACAGAGTTAAGGAACAACTAA